GTTCTGAAGGCAAAAGGGGGTCCAACCCGTTACTAGCATGGTGTACCTAATAAAGTGGCCGGTGAGTGTAAGTGAGCAACAAACAGGATGTTGTAACTTACAAACACTTTCAGTTATCAGAAATATTTCATTCTATTCTCATCAAAATGCTTCAGAGTCACCAAATCAGACTTTTGAGGTTGTTTATACAACACTTGATAAGCCTGATTACCTGACAGATATGAGATGAGACACGGGGAGAACCATAAAATAATTTGCAACTTCACAGAGCTCTGTCAGAGCAAAACCTCTGAAAACTCCACTGCAGTAAGACATCCATCAGTGTGCTGGCAGCCTTCAGCTGTTTACACAGCTTCCCTGTGAACATAGCATAAGTGCTGCGTTTAAGTGGGTGAATGTGCGACATAACGGTGCTCAGATGGTGGCTCTATGATCTGTGCAGCAGATTTTACTACAGTGACCACAGTCAGTCAAAGCAGATCTAAAAACCATCACAAACTTTGAACTAAGCAGAATCCCACACAGCATCCTGCACTGATTGATACAATTCAAACAAAACTGGGTTTTGTTTTGTTTTTACTGAGAGACACTCAGGTAATAACAAGAGTCAGTAGGTGGTCCTTCCTATGACTCAGGTGTGGTAAAAGATATAGCAGACCACCTCTGAAGGTTGTCAGAGTGAAGCCATTTTTATTAAGAACATTCGCACCTAGGCTTTGCACCATCCAAGGACAATTCTGCACTTAATGGCATTTAGATTTTTTAAGATTATAGTTAAACTGATAGGTAAGGCACATGATGTAAAAATAAAACAAAATAAAATCATGAAGTGTTTCAGTTAAACTGCTGTGCCATTCCTGAGTACGAGTATTTTATGATGTCTGTAATCGGCTCACTATCTGTCCCTTTAAATAACTTTCAGCTTGATTCCTCTTTACATTTCTGACTCTCGTGTTGAATTGAAACAGTGCATTTATCTGACTAGTTTCACCTTCAGCCTTTCTAACCACTAACAATTTCTCAGCCTGACCTGTTTATTTCCTGAATATGTGGCTAAATCCAAAGGCAGACCATTACAATCTCATCTAAGCATAATTATATCTAAATATATAAAATAAACAATATGATTTAGTTACAAAATATATTGAGAACGATTTATCAAACAACACATTTTTATTAGAGTATTACAAGACTGTTTGGTTTTTAAAAATCACATCAGTGAACCCAAAGATCATTGACTCTGGTTATCTATCATTTCCTGCTGCCAGAGAGGACATACATATTCACATATTTTCTTAAGCAGAGCAAGTGTCGAAGCTTCATTTTGAATATGTGCACATAAATTCATTGCTATTTTATTAAAATTACAATTTCTCAATTTTTTGAATGAAAGAATGCAATTAAAATGTCTTTGTATGAAGCATTTCACTGTTGAATAATACTGATGGTGTTCAAAAGGACATTTTAATTGCGGTCATTATTTAATCTACTCAACAAAAAACTAATTGTGGTTAAAGAGAGCTTAGAGTCATCAAATGTGCCTTCTTTAAGTTTGTGTTTTTGATTGGCTTTAAAACACAGACCATAATCATAGGGATTACTCTGATTTTCCTTTTTAAGCAGAAGCTCCGGTGTCATCTTCACGGGAAAGCTCACGAAGGAGGTGAGATTTAAAAGAAAAACAGCCAGGTTAAACAGACCACCAACATGCTGAGAAACAGATGGTTTCCCACTTGACTGCTGTTGCTCATAATCATGCATCTAATAACACCTGTTGCACATATGAAAGGTGGACAGAGAGAGAGGAGGTGAGGCTGCCCACCAGTAGCATGCACAGATTGAAAGCTGAGTAGCAGGTGTGGGGGCTCAGAGCTCCGGGACCAATGATAAGTTGTCATGTCCGTGCACAGGGCATGTGTGCTGTGTGCTCAGCGTGTGTCAGCAGTGCTGTGTGGTCCAACACGTACTTTAAAAAGCACATCAGCACAGGTATGTGCAAAAAATCCACCAAAATTGTAAATTTGGGCTGAAATAGCAAAAAGTAACCCTCAAAGCCCTGGGCTATTTTCCAAAACTTCCATCTGAGAAATCCTCAAATTCAGTTTGTAACAACATCCCAACTTTAAAGCTGTCTGAATGACCTACAGCTCCATGGATTAAAATAGTTGGGGGCGGGGAACATATTAATAAATACAGCCTGCCTCTATTCTCATCACAAACCCATGATGAAATAAAAAAAACAACAGTTCATAAAATCCAAGAAATATAAAAGTGCTAATGTTGACTTACTGATGTTAAAAAATAAATGCCTTATGTGTATTCACACTAGTCAAAAAATAATTGTCGGCATACGCAGGTGGAAGGAGGCGGTCCTGGTAATATTTTTAATKTGGGGTTAAAGCTGCTGTATGTAGTTTCTTGGGAACCCAAAAACTTAGAAAAATTTTGAACAGAAACAACCTTGTAGTCCCTCCCCCTGCTCTCAGCTCCCCTTCCTAGGCTCCTCCCCCACAGCAGGGCCCAGAGCCGTGAACGCGCACGGTTGTAAACAAGAGGTGATCTCACCGTAACCCACAGAGAGCTCAGAGCTAAGCTGCCGTCACGGGTAAGAACAAAACAACTATATATTTTTAACTATCATGTCTTGCCCATACTTTATCTACACAAGTGCTCCTTTTGTCATAACGTTACATGTAAATTATGTTGCACTCTTTCTATAAGTTATAAATAGCTATCAAGCTAACACAACACCGAGGCTAGTTTTTGACAATCATCATCTACCAGCTGATAGAGAAGCTGTGGTGAAGAATCACGCAGGTCACTGGAGAAGCAGCAGCG